GGCGTTGGCAACGACGTGACTGGCAGAGGGTTGTCTTCACTGACGAAAGTCGATTCTGTATGTTTAGGGCTGATGGAAGACGACGTGTTTACCGCCGAAGGGGTGAACGAACGGCGGCGTGTTGCTTGCAGGAGGTCGTACCATATGGTGGAGGGAGTGTCATGGTGTGGGGAGGGATCTGTGGGCAGGAGAGGACACCGCTGGTCATAGTTGACGGAAACTTGACAGCTCAGCGTTACATGGATAACATTCTTCGTCGAACAACAGCAGCCACAGCAGCCACGTTGTGTCATTTATCAGCATGACAATGCTAGAGCCCATACGGCCAGAATTGTCACTAACTTCCTCGCAGCCAACAACGTCAACGGCCTGCCGTGGCCTGCACGCTTACCCGACATGTCCCCCATAGAACACCTCTGGGACTTGATGGATCGTCGTGTTCGACAACGACCACACTCTACAGCATACCGGCAAGAACTGATCTTGGCCCTCCAAGAAGAATGGCATCAAATCCCACGTGACCTGATCAGACGACTGACTTTTTCTGTGCGTCGAAGAGTTTTTGCGTGTATTGAGGCATTTGGTGGTCACACACGCTACTAATGACTTGTTATGGAACGTGAGCGATTGTTTATGCACTCTGCCTATTGTCCATGATTCTGAAAGCTCGAGTTTTGTACCACACCCAACTTTGGGGGGCTCTGACGTCGTTCTCGGTCGCGGTATGATTGTCATTTTCAGTGTTGATTATGTTGATATATATAAGTATCTTCTCAATACACTTTACTTCATGCATGAAGGGCCGGAGTAGAATAGCTTTTCAGCAACCAATACTTGCCGTAAAAGGCGACTATGCTGGACGTAAGAGGCGACTAACGGGATCGGGTGGTCAGGATCGCTGACTTGGTTGATGCATGTCATCGATGCCAACTGCGTGGATCGATGCTCATGATATCAATCACCGGATTGTTTGGTCCAGACTCGATTATCTACAGACTGCCTTCATAAAGCTGGAATATTGCTCAGTGCCACGTGAAACAACAAGCCAACAAACCAACCATAATCACACAGTTATCTGAAATTGCCAGTCTTGAAGGGGACACGGGTGGCCCAGTCGTCTAAGGCGCCGCGATTCGCTGTGCAGAGTTGCGTCCCTTGGGCACGCCTGGAACCTATGATTGTGGGTTCGAATCCCGGTTCGCCCCGATTATGTTTCTATGTTTGTCAGCACCATACCCGTGCTCGTGGGTTTCACCGAAGTGGCTTATATATAGCTGGAATATTGCTGAATGCGATGTTAAAAAAGAAACAAACAAACAAGCAACAGTTATAGATGCACTCGAATGTAAAACACATTGTCAATACAATTTCAATACTCAAGACCCGTTAAATACCCGTTTAAACAACAGCAGCTTTTAAAAAAAAATATTTCCATGTATGGTACTTAACCTGACACAATACAATCTGCGTCATCTATCGATTTTTCCGCTTACATGTTTCTGATGGGCGGAAATCCTTTGGTAAGTAAACGATTCTCACGGATGAAATATTTAATATGCAACCCGTAAAACGCAAAACATATGATTGATTATCTACCAGCAGTGTGCCGTATCCGTAGCATCCATCTTTTGTGTGTACTTTGCATCTCTGACGATGACATTCACACTGAAATAAATAAATCAATATTTCCACAAAGGACACTTAGTACAAACTACTCCAGGAGAAATAGAATGAGGTATCACAAATGATTCGATCCCGTCTGTGGCGGGGCACATTTGTGACAAATATTTGAATTGTATTCAATGGGGTTTTGGTCCAATTGTGAACATGGTCTACGCAGGTGGTTTAAGGGTTATCTTATCCTAATTTAAGAACCACTGCAGACAGTTTCCAATCGAAATATTTGGGGTGCGTACAGGGATGCAACATACCCATGATATTCAGTGTTTAGGTCTATTGTATCATGCCATTTGTGGGTACACCCGTCTCCCTTTGACAGCTACGTTGTAGCTACGTTTAATGACGCTCTGATCATTAAGGATAACGTGCTCAATAATATAGTTGCTTACCACTTTTGTCACATTCGTTTTGGTCCCCCTTGAGACCAACAGCTTACTTTATTTGGTCTTTTAAAAAGCGTTTGAATTGGTATTGGTTTTCAAACGTTTCACTTTATTGCTAGAATAAAAAATAATGTTGAGCCAATGTAATATTTATTCAAGAGAAAACATACTTCAGAGTTAATGTCTTGTGTGGTGTCTTTGGTGGTTTTTACCCAAAATAGTGCGATTGTGAAACACAAAGTAAAAAGGTGTTTGCAGCTCCATGCCTAGACTAACATCTAGTCTCTGAAATGAACATATCATAATACAAAATTATAAAAGCGAGCCCAGTGACTCTCTTCATTTTCAGAGTAATATAGACTTGCCAAACATTATAGACTTGCATTGGCTGTTTTTGATATATATTTGTATCAGGATCTGTAAGACAGACTATTCCATGCCCAACCGTCCCTTCCCTGAATGCCCCCAAACTGAACCCCATGCTGCCTTAACACCAATGTATGTTTAATTACATCGGTCCCTATTTCGGGAAACGTATGCACAAACAGTTAATCCTATGTTTCTAGCTACTTTAACACCAAAATTAAAATGATATCACTTTCGATTTGGGAGAAAATTGGACCCGGTGGAGTACAATCTTAAAAGGGACAGTGCTTGTAACCATTTTAATCAAATTAAGTTACAAGCACTTCCAGTTTAATGACACGACTTCCTGTTTGGGACATCATGCTCATTGTAGTGCACCACCACTAGCTAACTTCATGACAAAGTTATTAACTCTCCTGGGTTAACGACATCACTTAGGTGCCTATAACAGCATTAATAAAAAAATAGTATGTACTTCAAGGTTTGTGATATCACTTCCGGTTTACGATTTTTAAACGCCAAAGCCGGATAATCACCAGTCTCTGAAGCAGGTTCCATGGGGCATAAAGGAATAAATAGCGGTGAAAATCATGATAATGGATCACAAAAAAATCAGTGACCAGTTACATATGGATATCTATACAAACAGGCGGATCAATAGTTATCGCTCACACGGAGGGAAGGGAAAACATAAATATAAACGCAAACGCCAGAAAATCAAAGCGCAGTGAACAATATATGATATGATCACACAAAAACAACAACAGTGATGGCACCAGGTGTTCGCGAATACGCATGTCTTGCCCTATCGGGGCGGTCGGGTAGCCTAGTGGTTAAAGCGTTCGCTCGTCACGCCGAAGACCCGGGTTCGATATTGATATTCGCCTTGATATTGCTGGAATATTGCTAAAAGCGGCGTAAAACCATACTTACTCACTCACTCACTCACTTGCCCTATCGGTAGCACGCGGCATCCACACAATTTGCATAAAAATTGTAAACACATGTCTAAAGGAAGACAATATAAGACAGAACATGTTGTGCCTGTAACTGCATTTCCGGTTTAATGATACCACTTCCGGTTGGATAAAATACATGCCATGCCTGTAGCTACATCAGCATCAATAGAAGTCCATGAACTCCCCTTTTAGAAACTTCACTTCTGGTGTTAGAAATAAATACGTATGTGCATTGCATGACAATTTAAATGCATCCAGCTAGCTTCCAACGAACGTAATATGTACGTGTAATTACCTTGACCCCCAATTTGAACCAATCAAATACTTGACTATTTCTGATTGAAGACATGGAACTTGTTATCACCAACGATAATGCCCTTTGCGCAAAGATCGCTTTCAGAAAACTCCAAGGAATACACTCCATATGAAGTAACGGTTTTAGTTACATGTGTTACTATTATCATAAGAGACGACTTAATCGATTCCTATACAATATTAAACATAACCGCCATATTGAAAATTACCAGTGAGGTTTTTTTTGAGTGAGTGAGTGAGTTGGGTTTAACGTCCACTTTTAACACTCCGTCAGTATTCCAGTTATATCGCGGCGTGTCAGCTTAATGTGGGAGGAAAGCCCGAAGTGATGGAGGCCTTTGACGTTTACCACTTGGGTGAACCCATGAGCACGGTTATGGTGCTGACAAACCAAGAAACAATCAGGGCGAACCGGGACTCGAACCCACAATCATAGGTTTCTGGCGTGCCAAGGGACGCAACTCTGCACAGCGAATCGCGGCGCCTTAGACGACTGGGCCACCCGTGCCCCCGATCTGGAATGGAACAAGTTAACCTGTGCTGGTTGTAACACGGACCCGAAGGATCAGTTGGTCAGACCACGTGACGTGGTGCAGAGTGACGTCAACTGACGTAAGGGAAATACGTCTAATGGTTTGCTAGTTCGGAAGTGACAGCTAGCGTTAGGCGCGGTGAAATGACAGTTACTGACTTTAGAATACATATTATGAATGAATAGGATTAGGACGCCCATTTGCTCGTTACTTGTCTATGCCAGTTATATGTTTACAGCCATCCTTCTTGTCTCTATCAATTGTTTGTTTAAGTACCCAGACGGCATGGATTGCCGCTCACAATATCAATCACTTGTTCCAGACTCAATGAATTACACGCCGTTTACATACATGTATGAAAAACAAGAAACAAACCAAACACTACAAAATCTGAAAATTATTGAAATTGCCGCACATCATATGAATGTTTAAGATGCCAAGGCCATTTTGTTTTTCACAATTCGATTTTTGTTCTTTAACAACATTGTACCTCTAGTATGAAGGAATAAAACGCCAAAAGAAGATAAGGCTGAAATTTGGCGCCGTTAAACAACATATACACATTACGGAAGTTATATGGTTCGATTCGAATCGGACTCGATGTGAATCTCACTGTATTGAAAAACATAATATGAATAATTCAGATTCCAAGACAGATCGATATATTTTCACGCCAATTTGTATTTTCAGTTTTTAAGGATGAAAACGTATAACTAAATACAGCTGCAATAATCACACTCACTAAGGTAGTTATATGGTTCGATTCCAACTTTGCAGGCACAATGGCTATACAGTTATTCGTGTCAGTCGCCCTGTCTGATGTTCTTGACACCAGTCTGACACCAGCCATGACAAGCACTTTGTTCAACTGTGTGATACAGTGTTACTCAAGCACTGGATGTTCCTCCATCTTCTACAACAAAGCGACTCACCAATGTGCAGTGTCATCGCACGTGTATCGAGATGGCGACAGTGTTCTAGCATCTTCAACGGGAATGAAGCTGTACACTTGGAATCAAGGTAGGGGATGAATACAAGTCATCATCGATTTACGTTCCGACTATATCATGAGCTCATATATAAATAATGATGATACCAGGCGTTCGCGAAAAGGTGAGCGAATCCCGTCCTATTGATGGCACTCGTCACAAATACATGCAAAGGGAAGTCAATAGTTCACCTGAAAAAAACGGGAACATATGGTATAAGTCCAAATAGGGAAATGTATCGGGCATGATCTTTGTCACTGATTCGTCATGTTTGGGGATGTCTACCATAATAAAGTTTTGAAAGCTTTACTGAGGCCTTAAATGTTGAAACCTTGATCAACCAACTTTTGAGCTAGAGTCGTATGACGCTGTTTGAAATTTTAGCAGAAAGAGCATGCTCGATTGTACATCAAAAGTTGTGAAATGTGGCCACCAAATAGTGCTCGACATGAGTCAAGTTAATTGTTCACCTGACAAAACATATAAGTATGCTCGGTTGTATCTCAAAGTTGTGAAGAGTAAACACCAAAGGTTAGAGCTGCTGGAATATTGGCCGACATTGAAGGGAAGGTTTACTATTGAACATTTGAAGTCATCCCTCTTGTCATACAATCTTGAGGGGAGTGTTTTGTCACTCTGAATCTTTATGCATGGTCCTTAAATGAAAAAGATGAGCCAGCCTCCCTGGTCTCCAATATGTCACTAGCAGGTGGGTAAATCAATGGAAGGGGTGTGGCTATTTGATGGCTATTAAACTGCGTCAGATCATCGATATGCCTGAAGCTTAAGTTAATATTCTTGGCCAAATATACTTGTTTGGACTGACATAAATTTCGGAACAGATCAGCAAAATCAGCGAGAAGGGGAGCACAATTGGTTCCCATGGGGATGCCTATTTCTTGGTAAAATATCTTCCCCACAATTTGTATGCGGATGTTATCAAAGAGGAACATGCGAGGAAGCACAAATATGTTACTTCGGTCAAGAAGCCGAAACATTGCCGATGTTAACTCACTCTCGTACATAAGGTTCCCCTAAATCCAAGCGATATATATATGGTGGTATGAATGTATGTATTGTCATAAAACAAGATTGTTTAGTTCTGCTGTACTTAGTTGTGAGAGGGATAACAATAACAGTTTTATTTGGATGTGGGGGGCACGTGTGGCCCAGTCGTCTCAGGCGCCGCGATTCGCTGTGCAGAGTTGCGTCCCTTGGCAACGCCAGAAACCTATGATTGTGGGTTCGAATCCCGGTTCGCCACGATCATGTTTCTAGGTTTGTCAGCACCATACCCGTGCTCGTGGGTTTCACCGAAGAGGTAAACGTCTGAGACCTGCATCACTTCGGGCTTTCCTCCCACATTAAGCTGACACGCCGCGATATAACTGGAATACTGTTAAAAGCGGCGTTAAACCCAACTCACTCACTCACTCACTATTTGGATGTGATCAAGCCTCCGGCTGATGGGATCTAATGACCAACTCATTACATCTTTTATTATCTATTATCTCGTTTATATTTCACTTAATCAATAAAAGTCTCTCTTTTAGCTGGGTGTTCGTTATCAGCTGGCTGGATTTACCACCGTCCCTCAAATCTCTGCTACAAGCGCAGTGATTACAAGGTGGACATAACTACGGCGGAGACCGCGTGCAGAGATGCTGGAGCAAGACTTGTTGTCGTTGACACCGCCGAGAAGAACGCTCATCTCCTAACATTACATCCGACTTCAGGTGAATATGAATGCTGCTCAGCCAGCAAAGATCATAGGCAGCCTTACTTTGTTTCTTTAACGCCGCCGCAGAACCTCCATGTCGGGGCACGATGACAAGATATCCACTCAGTCACCCAGCTACCACTCACATGAAGTATTTTTCCAATACCAGGATTTTATTGTCATGTCGCGATTTAACATTTTAGGACTATGGGCATAAACTTTACATAACGTATACAATACCCAATCTTAAAATAGTTAACATATTGCAATGTCCGTTTTCGTACATTCTGTTATCCCTCACCCAAACGTATTTTTCAAGGGACCTTATGTCATGGCACGTTGTCTGTTGTGAATTCGTTTGGTTGTCCGTACGTCGTGAACTTTTACATGGGTGACAGCTCCTCGAAAACTCCAAAGCATATAAAGTTGAAACATTGCAAGAATGGTCTCAGCTATAGTATCTCCAAATCGTGGACATCGAATCTCGATCACATATTGTACATGGCATCCACGTCAGCCATATTGAAACTATCAGTTTTGCATATTATGAAATTTTATATCCATACCATATGTTATTGAGCTTATCTGTGTTGTAGACCTCTGTTGTTAGCTTTGTTTATGAATCTTTGCTAATGCATTATGTACACCTTCACAGATAACAAATTTTGTTTTGTTGCATATTGCGACGTTTCGATGTACAGTAAACTACGGTTATAACGAACTCAAACTGACCACTAACTTTAGTGCGTTATAACTGTAGTTCGTTATAAGCATATATACAGCATATATACAACAAATGGCCGGGACTAAAAAATATGTTCGTTATATGGGCCAGTTCGTTATAAGCGTGTTCATTATAACCTTAGTTTACTGTAGATTCTTACACCATTATCACGCTGGAGTGATTAAAAGCATGAGTGATGAGTGATAAGAGAGCATGACATGTTGTGAAAAGCAGCAGATAAACATTGACAACAGCAGGTAATAGATAACAAGTAGCATATACTAGGAGTTAATTGGATGAGGCCAAATGTACAGTAGGAACAACAAATAGAACACAGGTAATGAAGCACATGGGTAATGAAGCCAGATGTACAGTAAGGATAAGGATTAAAAGTATGAACCAGTTGTGACAAACTGAGTGGATCTTGGCAAAGGTTTGTGACGGCGGATTTCATTAGCTTCAGAGTTTTCTTTTGGTGTGAAGTCCTGACATTTGGTTGAGAGGATTTGGACTTTGTCGAAATGAATTTGACTGCTAGGGGTGTTTTGCTGTTGGTCTGAGAGGGTTGATTTGCCGTCTGTATGGCTGTTGAAGTCCTATGTTCTTTGGTGCCGGTGTCTACTTGGCGGGAGGTTTCGCCAATGTACGAGTCACCACAGTCACAGTTAATCTTATAGATTACTCCTTTGGGGGCAGCTTGTTTGGGTGTTGGAGTGGGGGTTGCGGCCATTAACTAGAAGGATGGTTCTTAGGGATGGGGAGCCAGTGAAGATGGTGTATGGGGTAGATACCTGCTTGGTGCTTGTTTGATGAGAGGCCTTGCCAGTGAATGGTAAGGTGATTGTGATAGGGCGGATGATGGTCTTGTTGGTGTAGGTTTGGGCTTGAGTGGTGTGGAGATGGTCTTCTTGACTAGCTTGGTCACGTTCTGGTTGAAATTTGTGAAGACTTAGTTTTCAGGGTTGGATAGTGTTGATAACTTAAACACCAAGCAGGCATCGCCAGCATCTTCACAGGCTCCCCATTCTTTAGAACCATTCTCCCGCAACCCGCAATAAACAACAAGTTCAATATCCTATTGGGTATTACAGGTGATCGTTCTTGGATTGGGCTTCGCAAAGTCTCTGGAACTTGGAAATGGAGCAATGGAGAAACACTTGGGCCTTTCAATGCCTGGAAAGCAAATCATCCAAACAATGGCAAGGAGTGTGGAATTTTGTCAGGGTACCTTCAAGGATGGTCATCATTTTATTGTTTAACTGGTCCTAATATTAACTATATATGTGACAAAGAGGTATTCACGTCTTAAGCTTCAAACAATCTCAACAAGTATTTAAGTACCCTCATTTTGCTAAACACGAACATATTTAATCGCCCAGTTTCACCAAGAATAGCTTTATTAGAGGCATATTTTCCGATACAAAGATAATTTTTAAAATAGGACGTATGTACTTTTCCTATACATTCATAATGTTTTTACACAAGCCTTAACAGCAGAATACATACTAGCTACGACATTATACAACTTGCCATGGCAACCTTTTTGTAAGAGCATATATAATATTTTTTTCCTTTCCACAAAGGCTTATTTGGAATCAATGAAAGCACAATAAAATCGCCCCATCGCTTTGTTAAATATTTAGTACAAAGGGCCTGGAGTGTGAAAGAGTTGTCTGTTACTGAATAGTTGGATCTGAATCCAGCTTGTGCTTCATGTATTAATTCGTTTATGTCCATCCATGATCGTAGTCTTTTTTCAAGTGTTAACGTGAATAATTTCTCAGTTGCATTTAGCAGGGATATTCCTCTATAATTGTTGGGGTCAGAGGTAACACCAGATTTATGTATAGGTATTATCAGTCCAATGTTCCATGCTTCAGGAAATATACCGGTATCTAATATTTTATTAAATAAAGGTCTCAAGTATTTAATAAGAATTGTTTCTGAAAGTTTAAAAAATTCTGGAGGGATTCCATCTTCACCAGGAGATTTCCCGAATTTTAATCTTTTTAACGCTTCAGCTACTTCTTCATCAGTAATAATATCTGATAACAACTCTTCTGTAATGGGTAAGCTATCACAATTATCACAAGAGTGACGGTCAATGAATTCATTTACAAGTACATTAAAATCTTCATTCACTTCCGTTTTGTTAGAGTTTGACAAATCTTTAAAATATAACTGAAGATTATCAGGAGATATTGCACATTTAGAGTGTTTGCTACATAAAACCCGTTTCAGGGTGTTCCAAAATGTTTTACAATTACTATGTTTTGCAGCATCTTTCAAATCTTCAACTGTTTTACCATCAAATTGTTTCTTTTTCTGACCACAGCATATTTTGAATTTTCTTTTGGCTGTAACATATTTTTGCAAATTTTCATTACATTTGAACTGCTTAAATAAATTGGGGGCACGGGTGGCCCAGTCGTCTAAGGCGCCACGATTCGCTGTGCAGAGTTGCGTCCCTTGGGCACGCCAGAAACCTATGATTGTGGGTTCGAATCCCGGTTCGTCCCAATTATGTTTCTAGGTTTGTCAGCACCATACCCGTGCTCGTGGGTTTCACCGAAGTGGTAAACGTCTGAGACCTGCATCACTTCGGGCTTTCCTCCCACATTAAGCTGACACGCCGCGATATAACTGGAATACTGTTAAAAGCGGCGTTAAACCCAACTCACTCACTCACTCACTTAAATAAATTAAGATACCTATATTTTTCCTTTTTCAGTTTAGTACATTCATGGTCAAACCAAATAGGTTGACTTCTGTATTTATTGTTAAATAGTGTACAAAAACCTCCAGAAGAACAAGCAATGTGGATCAGTATATCTCCCAAGGTCTTGACTGCAGTATTTACATCTGTTTGTAGAGCTGTGTAAAATTCTTCAAATATATCAGTAGACAGTAGTAATTGTTTATATTTCAAAGCATGTTGATCGATTAATTTGTATCTAGGAATAGGTGATACTGTTGTTATATGGTCAGTATTAGTAATCACATTATCAACCATGTGAGATATAGTACAGATCAGAGGCATGTGGGCTGAATCTGTTCTTGAACACACTTTGAGAGATCTACTAGTTTGGGAAATATGTCTGTTGACACAAGGAAATAATCTACAACACTTGTGCCTAGATGCGAGATAAAAGTGAAATTGCTTGGAATGTCAGACTTCATTCTACCATTAACAGTATGAATACCAAATAACTTGAATAATTAAAGTAGACAAATTCCAAAAGTATTTACATCTTTATCACAAACATCCCTTGGAAGGTTAAATGAGTCGCTAGTATAATCTTCAGGAAGAGGGAGGTAATTTGTACTGTCATCTCGAATAAAATCCTCTCCATGTCCTACTCTCGCATTGAAGTCCCCACATAAAATGTATTTACACTCATCACCATAATCATAATTGATATGTAATAATTGTTTCTCGATTATATCAATGCCATTATCATCTGAGTCAGTATACAGTTGTGACTTATCCGGATGAACATACACAAAACCAAGTATAAGTGGGGAATTTCTCTCAGTATCAAGCATATTAAAGAAAACACAATTTGTCCAGTATGTGTATATCCTTCTAAATTGGGAAGTGATGTTATGACTTATGTATACAGCTATACCTCCTGAGTAGCGCCCATACCCTGATAATCTTGATGGGGGACTCACAAAGCAATCATGGGAATTAAATAATGAGTATAGCTTATTTCCATCAACACACCAAGTTTCAGTGGAGCAGAGCACATCAAATTGTGAACAAAATGAAATAAAATCAGGATACATCAACTTTGATAAAAGTCCATGGATATTCCAGGAACATATTGTGTATACTGGATTTGTGAATTTACCATCGTTAACATTGTAAGAGTCATTTTGTGCTTTTCTGTAATTGGGACCACTGCCAAGATCCTATGTTGTATTGTTGATTGTACTGTCCATTCTGTTAGGTGACCTCGGTCGCCAATTCCTCCTTTGTCCCACTTTCTGGACACTGTCACTTTCCTGGTTATACACAAACACATCACCATCAATAATTAACTTACCCTCATGGCAATGAAAGTAAGTGATTTATGTAGCAAGAACATTTCCGAAGAAATCAAGCTCCCAAACACAACATTGTAACAGTCATGAAGCACGTGACCTCGGACAGCACATGCAAAGGGTGGTATGCTAGAGTTACGATTGTCACTCAGACTCAGACACTTTAATAAACATATTTGATAATTAAGGAAGCAACAGTATTGTTTATGCGACGTTTGCAACGTGTTAACAGTTTACGTGCGATAGGCATGTTGTAGGTGGGCACATGTCAGAATAATGTTGCCCAAACGCTGCATATTTTCTAATCTGTCATCAGCAGTCCCATACCAGAGCATAGTGACATAATTATATTTCATGTGTGCGTATACGATTTGAAATAAATATAACTTGGAAAGTTTACTATTCTCAAACCATATACGGCATTAGACGTTAGGAATTAGACATTTCCCTCAATTCTACAGAAATAAATAGGAAATTGTACAATTTCAAATGATTTGCAGAGTCACGTTTGGCACATATGAATTGCGATTACCGTCTATAAATTTAAAATGCTTGGATAAATAGAAGCCGATACGTGAGTTGTGTGTCATTTTATTTTCCTTTCATGGCCATATACAGGTATATGTATCAAATTTCAATCGTATGAAAAAATGGAAACATAAAGAAAGATAACTAATATTAAAAATGAACGGTTTTTCCCTACACAGTCTGTAACCGAAATAAAGGCCCGTTATATTAGAAATAATTAATTGCAAGAGGCATTGAGGAAGATAAATCTTAAGCTTGTTTCTAACATTATACTATAGTGGACCATGTGAGGAAGAATTATTGCTATTCGGGCTATATGACGGCGGTCTGTAAATAAACGAGTCTGGACCAGCCAATCCAGTGATTGACATCGTGAGCATCGATCCAAGGTAGCTTCAACGTGAGCAATATTAAAATTGAAGTCTGTGTGAAGGTTGTCATTACTTTGTGATTCCTACTTTGCAGGCACAATCACTGTACAATTATTCATGTCAGTCGCCCTGTCTAATGTTCTTGACACCAGTCTGACACCAGACATGACAAGCACTTTGTTCAACAGTGTGATACAGTGTTACTCAAGCACTGGATGTTCCTCCATCTTCTACAACAAAGCGACTCCCCAATGTGCAGTGTCATCGCACGTATATCGACATGGTGACAGTGTCTTAGCATCTTCCACGGGAATGAAGTTGTACGTTTGGAATCAAGGTAGGGGATGAAGCGTTTCCCAAGCTATGTAAATACAAGTCAACATCGATTTACGATTCCGACTATATCATGAGCTCATGTACAAACAGTGATGATAGAGGGTGTTCGCGAAAAGGTGAGCTAATTCCGTCCTATTGATGGCACTCGTCACAAACACATGCAAAGGAAAGTCAACAGTTCACCTGAAAAATACGGGAACATATGGTATAAGTCCAAATAGGGAAATGTATCGGACATGATCTTTGTCACTGATTCGTCAAATTTGGGGATGGTCTACCATAAAACGTTTTGAAAGCTTTACTGAGGCCTTAAATGTTGAAACTTTGATCAACCAACTTTTGAGCTATAGTCGTATGACGCTGTTAGAAAGTTTAGCAGAAAGAACATGCTCGATTGTACATCAAAAGTTGTGAAATGTGGCCACCAAATAGTGCTCGACATGAGTCAAGTTAATAGTTCACCTAACAAAACATATGAGTATGCTCGGTTGTATCTCAAAGTTGTGAAAAGTAAACACCAAAGGTTGGAGCTGCTGGAATATTGGCCGACATTGAAGGGAGGTTGACTATTGAACATTTGAAGTCATCCCTCTTGTCATACAATCTTGAGGGGAGTGTTTTGTCACTCTGAATCTTTATGCATGGTCCTTAATTGAAAAAATATGAGGCAGTCTCCCTGATCTCCAATATGTCACTAGCAGGTGGGTAAATCAATGGAAGGGGCGTGGCTATTTGATGGCTATTAAACTGCATCAGATCATCGATATGCCTGAAGCTTAAGTTAATCTCCTTGGCCAAATATACGTGTTTGGACTGACATAAATTTCGGAACAGATCAGCAAAATCAGCGAGAAGGGGAGCACAATTGGTTCCCATGGGGATGCCTATTTCTTGGTAAAATATCTTCCCCACAATTTGTATACGGATGTTAACAAAGAGGAAGTCCAACATACGAGGAAGCACTCATATGTTACTTCGGTCAAGAAGCCGAAACATTGCCGATGTTAACTCACTCTCGTACATTAGGTTCCCCTAAATCCAAGCTATATATATGGTGGTATGAATGTATGTATTGTCATAAAACAAGATTGTTTAGTTCTGCTGTACTTAGTTGTGAGAGGGATAACAATAACAGTTTTATTTGGATGTGGGGGGCACGTGTGGCCCAGTCGTCTCAGGCGCCGCGATTCGCTGTGCAGAGTTGCGTCCCTTGGGCACGCCAGAAACCTATGATTGTGGGTTCGAATCCTGGTTCGCCCCAATTATGTTTCTATGTTTGTTAGCACCATACCCGTGCTCGTGGGTTTCACCGAAGTGGTACACGTCTTAGACCTGCATCACTTCGGGCTTTCCTCCCACATTAAGCTGACCCATCGTGATATAACTGCAATACTGTTAAAAGCGGCGTTAAAGCCAACTCACTCACTTCTTTCACTCGTTTCATGAAACTGGTGTTAATTACATACCTCCCGTTATGTAAAGCATACACCCAGTGCAGTACATATTGCAACAGAAATTCTCTATGCCACTTTAATCATAAAGTTATATGTCTTACAATTTAACAACCTTGACCCTCGTTTCAGCCAATTGTATTCTTGCTAAGTTCCACCTGTAGGTGAAAACATTGTCACTAGTTTTGACAATATGTCATACGAACACTGGGTTGGTTCAAAGCATAAAGAGGCAGACCTAAGTTATGAATCAGCATTCCCGTGTCTGTTCTGTTCAAGTACGTTCCAAAGGAGTATACGACTCAAAAAGCACAATATATACGAGGGGT